TCCGGTAACGCCATGGAAACGATTTAAGAGAACTTAACCCACCAATGATTTTTCGTGTTCAAAGTACATAAAACGAGCAAAATGCATCCAGCGGGCGCTTCTCAAACCCAAAACAAATCCTGGACTCATGACACATGTCGGCTTTTGCGTATCATATTTGCCAAAACATATCCACGACGGATGCACCGCAATGCGGCACTCATTTCTCATTGGGCCCGTGTGAGATCAAAGCTGCCGGATTATTGCTTCTCAGCAAACCCAGCAAAAAATGGGATGCAAGTGGATCGAAAACGTGCCACAAGCTCCCGTATATTTATGTCATTTATGATTCTTGGCAAGCCAGTCTCTATCAACGACACTACGCGAGCAATTAGTGTCAGCGAGCTTTTGTCGGAGGTCAGCGGTCTATGTCAACATCTGGCCTGGTTCAGGGCGTTGGTGGGGCTGCATTACCGCGTTCAGCCGTCTCCACCATTGCTTGGCGGGCAGAAGTACACGTAAGGCACAGCTGAAACCATGCAATAGAACTCGCTCTGATCCGCCGTCTTAATTAACACATCGGTGGAGCAGGAGGGAGGGGGGGGGGATGCGAACCCTTACCTTCCCAGACATAAAGCGGACAAATTACACTGCATGTTCTAGACAAGATATCGCGATTGGAAGAAAGCTGTGTGTCGCTAGGTTAAAATTGGCTCAATCCCCGCTGTCTGGGCCTGCTCGATCTTCAGCCTCGAGAGTTCGGCCTTCCAGCACGTCTAGTTCGCCCAAGAAGGCAATGAGCTGGCTGGGCTCCGAGTGCCGAGTTCACTTTCACTAGGCGCTACACCGGCTCCCTCCATCACTGTACCGGAGCTAGCCACATCCACTGTTAAGCGCACTGTTCGCCGGGTGATATGGGCATTCACCAGTCTACTGCACGGTTCGGCGTTCATATGCGACGTAGTAATCGGAAGACCGTTCTGCTCCGTGCAAACGCCGACAAACATCAACTTAGCATGGGCTATTTGAGTTATATTACTGCCAAAGAGAGACTATGAGTAAGACGTGAAACTGAAACGAAGCAAACGAAAAACGCTAACAACGATACGAAGCTCAGGGAATGAGGGCAGCGGCCCGGACAGGTGGGCAACTGCTTCCCACGGATTCCCCTGGAGCACTGACGCGGCGTGCCCTCCGACAAGGACAGGCCATCACCGAGCCCACACACTGGACACCAGCCCGGCGATGTCCGGGCCGGGCCGGTGCCCACGAGAGCACCAAGGGAACAAGAGCGGTAAAGAAACAGGGCTCTGAAAGGCGTGCCTGTAACAGATAGTGAAGTAGACATGTAGCAGCAGGTAGGAGGCACTAAATAAGGTGAGGGGGCGACCTTGAAGGACAGTCAAAACGGTACACACAAGTGGACTAAGTATATTGCGAAAGAAAAAGAACGCGGTGTATTTCGTCCGTCACAATCATCGTAACCTGAAAGGTCTTCTTTTGACTTGACACAAAATCTGGATGTCTGGATAGCTTGTAAAAGGAGCAGCACGGTCGTTTTCTTCCACAGTCTTCTGTCTGCCTTAGTTTGAGAGCTAGCAGGGGGTATATTAGCCCTCGTCCTCCCCCCGTCCCGCTCTCGTCGGGCTTGGGTGTGACGTGGCCCCTACGGATGGGGTTTAAAACATGTGGCTTTCTCGAAGAAGCCAGAGGCCGCACCGACACACATAGTCACGCACCATGTTTGACATGTCTCAGTTTTGTTCACGTAAAGTCCCGGATCATGGCGGATCCATCGGAAACACGGCACAATGCGATCAATGACTTCCATGGGCCTTCTTTCCGCCGCCCGTTTTTTTGCAACTGGTCTCAAAGGAATACAGAACGAGCCACCATCGAATAAACTGTCTACTCTGTTTGCTACAAGCCCGTGCGTTTCGCGAGACAGTTAATATGGTGGCAAAAGAGAAATGCTGCACTAACAACACAACCACAAAACACATTCATAAACTTGACATTGTAACACACCACGTAAGGCATGCGCCAGATCAAGTTACAGCCCAGTCACCAGGCGGTGCAGAAGATTCCGTGCGTGTGCGTTATCGCTTCAGCGCTTATGTACAAATAGATGTATGTGCTAGCAGGATCAGAGAGAAAAGCAGACGTGTGTCTCTTGAAAGCAGCACTCATTTCCTTGGTACAACACAACAGAGTAAGTACCGAAAAGGGCCTATCTAAAATGCTTCACGACATTGTCGTTACTGTTAGTAAAAATGGACAAGCTTTTACTTTCCAGCTATGACATTACGAAAAGAAAAGGAAGAGAAAACGAATTATTCACAACAAGCGTGCGTGGTAGCGCTGGACTCTGCGTGATCTTGAATATACAACTGTTGTCGGCCGAAGAAGACATGCTGGAAAACGAAAAAGCGATAAACTTTATTGTTTAAGGCATCTGCGCCTGCATCGAGGCATTGTACCCACCTGCGCGGTAGCATTGGCACATTTTCGTGCTCCTATTTCGTCTGTTTGTGACGAAACAGATGTTCTAGTTTCCATGTACGTTACGTGGAATGCCAGCGCGAAGCAAAGGAATCACCTTTTTAAAGGGTTTGCACATAAAAGATCCTGTTTTCATCATGCACGCCCAATAGCACAATGTGTCCGTTCCTCTTATGACATTCAATTCAAACACGAAAACATCCGGAAGACCCATATTGGTCTTGAAAACTTTTGTACAAAACAGGTAGCCTCCCGTAACCTCAGCCGTAGGGCTGTCCTTACAGAAGCTCAATCGTTTTCGTCGCCCATCATTGTCTTCCCAATGACATTGTCTTCGGCGTCCATGGTACCCTCGTACTGGTCGGGGACGTTGTATAGCTTGTGGGTCAGCAGCCCAAACAGCAACATCTCCAGCAGGACCATAATGTCACGGATGACTGTGAACAGCAGAGGCAGCAGTCGTCAGCACCGGAGTCCGTGGACGTATGAACGGACGAACATGATGAGCGCCTCCCGCTGCAACAGCAGAGGCCGCAGTTGTCAGCACGGGAGTCCGTGGACGTATGAACGGACGAACATGATGAGCGCCTCCCGCTGCAACAGTTTGGAACACTGGCACACAAGTATTCTAGTTGGATGACAATGGGGCTCACTCGTTTGAAAATGACCTTCCGACACTATGCATTGTGGACTGAACTGTTTGCATATGTGTACCACAAGATCTTTGTTTCACTGACACAAACCGCTTGTGAATGCTTGCCAATCGAGGCTGAAACGAAATCGGCATTTCTGGCCCGCTTGCCAACGGGACGCGAATCAAGTGTTTAAATTCACAGTTGTGTGCTATGTGCTAACAATTCCCGGTGTTTTTGTGACATGAAGCGTGAACATTTTTGACGTGCTGTGAGATGTCGCTCAAACTTTCTTTGCAATGGAAAGTAACTGTTTGAGTAACTCATTTCGAAGAACTCACAGGCTCCGTAGGTTGCCGGAGTCATTGATGGGGTCTCAGGAATCCCACCATAATGAACGAGGAGATTGAAGACGATGTCCTGGACCTTCACCAGAACGAGCGTGACCTTGATCAAAAAAGACTTGGGCTGTAACACAGGGTCGAGAACAGGTTGAGGTCATACATCCAACGGGCGGACGGCTGAGCGACACTGGGCGTCAACTAGTCATGAGTGTCGACAGGCTCATCAACAAAATCGACTGCAATTACAATACGATTATGCGTATGAATGTGCTGTTGGGGATAACATTTTACGTTCTCTAAAAATGCACCGCTATTCAACGTTATTGCAGGAATTTTCGAGCCATCCCTAGAGAACCGCCCCGCACGTATCTTTTTCGACACATTGCTGCATTCATGTGAACATAATTTACGAAGAACCTGAGCTCACCGTATAACGGAATTGCGCCAGTTTTCCTTTCGTTATTTCTAGCAACATCGCAAGGCTGTACATGGCAAGCATAAATGATAGCACGTTAACTGCTGTCAGGTATATGAAGGCATCATTGTAGGCAATCTGTGAAAAAGAACACCCGTGTCAACAAAAGCACGAAATAACTTCGCTTTGTCAGAGCATTCGCAGTCTTGCCGGTGCATGTACATTCTCCTGCCCTATTTTGAACACGTCGTTCTGAACAGACAGAAAACATCGGCCCATCACGAAACAGGACCGTTGCATGCAACAATTACTTACAATGATATAAACATCTCACACATACACACACACACACACACACACACACACACACACACACACACACACACACACACACACACACACACACACACACACACACACGCACGCACGCACGCACGCACGCACGCACGCACGCACGCACGCACGCACACGCACACGCACACGCACACGCGCACACGCACACGCACGCACACGCACACGTGTGCTCCGTGCATATAGCGTGCCCTGGCTCCGTGTCACATGCCTACAGTGGAGCTCGTCTCGCTGCGCGTGTGTTCTACACCGACCTGACCCGGCTGAGTAAGCTGCGCGGCGAACAGGTACAGCGACATCAGGCAGTAGGCGCTCTGCGTGAAGGGCAGCTGGTGCACCATCATCTTCATCGCCTTCAGGTAGCGTCTGAACAGCATGGGTTACGTGAGACTGCGCGTCCAGTGGGAGGAAGAGGCTGTCCGCTCATATCGCGGACAGGACGGCCGTCAGGGTCCTTTCAGCAATGTTTGGTGGGGCGTGGGCGGGGTGGGAACATCCCAACATTACCTATCCCAATTTAGATTGGCCTGACCTAGCCCCACGTTCTGATTTCTGCACAGATTTAGACCATTTCATTTTGCGTTCAGATAAAAAACAACAAATGGGGCTCCGAGTTGGCTGCGATATATGATTGGCCAGAATCATGTCCGATCCAAAATTTCGTGAAGGGGAGGGCTGGATCATCTTGGGTCCTTGAAACGTGTGCCCCCAAAATCTCAAGATTTTTCCCCCCAACTTGAAGATTTTAGTTTTAATTACCTCTAAGGTGGAAAGCCCATCTTGCTATGCACTGTTCTAACTGGCAGGACTTGATACAAGGACGCACGGGACGCGTTCATTTTTCTCATGGTCTGGTGAATCCTGCCATTTTGAGGCCAAGTTTTGTGAAACACGCATGGTTTACGTCAGTGAAGTCACGAATTATTTTATTTTTTACCAACGAATTCTGATGTAGATGAGAACGTGTTTTATGGTCAGATACGATGCAATAATTTCACATCTGCCGTTTCTCCAATACCACTTGAACTTAATGGTTAAATATGAATTAAAATGACAGGAAACTCCGTGTCCCCAAAGCGATGATTACCAATTTCAATTTTATGAGGGTCATTATCTTCCTCAGCGCCGGAACTACCGACCCTAAAAAAAATCACATCTGAAAGACATCACTGAAGGTCAAATTAAAACTCACATCATGCGTTCTTCCTTATCACCCATAGGTTAGTCGCCGATTTTGAATTTACAAGCATCAGAAGCTTTTTCAGGGCACCAATCAGTGTCTGTCGCAAAGCTCCAGCCTCTGAAATTGACCCTACCCAAGAATAAATTCCAGGCCAAATGGCGAGGAACTCAGTATCACCCAAAGGTTTTCGGAGGCCAACTTCGGGTTCCTAAGCATCAAAATATTTATTTAACACCGCATAAATTATCATCCATCAAGAACTCCTGACCGCACAAGAACCCACTCAAGATCAAGTTCAAGGTCGAATGACGGAGAAATTCACATCACCTTTAGGTTACCGTTCACTTTTGAATTGTGAAGTGTCAGAATCACCTCAGCGAATCACCTAGCATCCGTGAGAGGCCGGCCTCGAAAGATCACTCTTCAAGATCAAGTTCAAGCTCATTTGACGGAAATTCTCTATCATCCAAGAGCTTTCAGAAAAATTTCCATTGGTTGGGAATTTTTTGATGGACCAGGAAGTTTTTGATAGGATAAGAATTTTTCATGGGCTTTCTCAGGCTTATGCTCTGAAAAAATTGTTCTGATGTTAAGATCCAAAATATGCCTACAACTTTGGGGTTATATCGAGTTCCCAGCCATTGGTGCCTAAAATGAGCTTGAAGGCCAGCCTTGAGAGTTCAGACACTTCCTGGAGGAGGCGGCGTGATGATCATCACCACATGATGATCATCACCGCAGTTCGACACTTCGGGTACTCAGCGACGTGGTCACGTGACTGGTGCTCTGAGGAAGCGCACCTGGAGCACCGGGGTTCTCTTCGACACCTGTCTGTGACGTGGCCAAAGCTTTGACAGCGAAAACAGCATACTAGGCCTGGGATATACTGCCTGACCGAAATGGAATGATATCCCACGTTAAATTTCTAGGCCTGGGATATACTGCCTGACCGAAATGGAATGATATCCCACGTTAAATTACTGGCCTGGGATATACTGCCTGACCGAAGCGGAATGATATCCCACGTTAAATTCTGACGGCGCTGACGGGCTGTTGAAGGTAAGAACTATGGTGTCTGTGTCAATAAGTTTCCATTCTCCCTTCTCCTAATCCGCCCAGCAGCAGACATACCATGCTCTCTAACCCTCAGTGATTTCTTCCTCCGACGCTCCTCAAAGATCCCAACGCGTCATGAGTCCTTTCGACGAGTTTTTAGTCTGGCGAGGTCGCGCACTGACAGCGGTGCTGACGGTTCCTTGGCCTCTCACACCAGCAGCAGTACGTAAGCTCCCTGGTCGCTAGTAACAGTTTCGCGTCTTAGTCGTTGCCGTGGTGAAGCTCGATAGAACCATCTGGACATCTGCGGACCTCCTTCGGAATGCCAAACTTGGAAAAAGCCAGCTTACGCTGAAAGGGATTCAAATTGAGTGCCAGCGGTTTTCATCGGGATCTAGCTTGGCTTTCTGAACGATCAGATATTCCGACGATGGAGAGGCCCATAGGGACCGAGCCTGTTCAGAGGTTCGATGGCCAGAAGATGTTTGGGGGGTCATCGGCAGCCGCAACCCGGTCTCCAGCGCGCACAGAAGCGTCCTGGCTACAGGAATTGAGGTAGGTGTGGTTGTTTGAGAGAGAATCCATGCAAGTGGTAGAAGATTTCGGCACCGGAGCTCCCCACCCACCTCGGAGCCCAACTGAAGGACAGCCCAACACTCCCTCGGGAGGCGGTCGTCGCCAGGGCTACCCCGGTGCTATACGGGGCGTACAACGCGTCCCACACGGCCAGGTGTAACCAGGGAGACCACCCCCGGTCCTGACCGTGGTTCAGCGCCGCCGCCGCCCCTTGACCCCTTAACCCATTGCGCACAGCCAGGCGCCCCAAGCGGAGACCCGCACGGAGCAACCAGCCGCAGCGCGAGCGACAGGCCGCTAGACCCGTGTGGGATCCCACGGCCCCCCGCGCCTTCGGATATCCTGGCCAAAGGAGAGTGTTCGAACGCGCCGTAACTGACCCGCACGACGCGCCCGTCAGCCACCAGGATCCGATGTTATTATATTATGTATTTTTATTTTAGAACCTTGCATGAAAACGCCAGTATATTTTTTGTTTCCACATTGCCGTGTTTCAGGGATCACAGTTTGCACGATAATTTCAGTGAACTTTGCTGCTTAAAGTATAGTTTAACTCAGCGTTGTTATATATTTTAACAATCATCTTTTAAATAGGTTTGGTCTGATTAAGTTTCTATTTAAAATGAAAACAGTTAAAATAAAGATCTCAGTTAGGTTCGGACGGGGGACGTCCCCGTGGTGCCCCCCCTTTCCAGCGATTAGCAAAGAAACAAAAACAAGAGCAAAGCAAAGCAAAAAATGTCGCAGCGGAGCTGCGCGAATTTTTGAATACCTTCCCTAGTACCAACCTTTTTTACTTGGAAAAAATTTAAAGTTCAAAGCAAGTCACTGCGCTGGCCGAGATCCGTCTGAGGTCAAAATTTAAAAGTTGGGATACTCAGAACTCATTCACGTACGAACATATTTGGTAAATATTGCAGATCCGTCCTTTCATACGCTTCATGTGCGCATGCTAATTTTGTTCAATCTTTAACCATTCTTTGTTTTTATTACCTGTAGCGCAATAGCTTTCAATGAGCGTTCCGTCAGCGACTGGCCGGGCTAGCAGGAACCAACCTGAGAGTATTGCCGCTGAGTTACTAGGTCCGCATTTTCTGAATCGCTGTCAATGAGTCACGTGCGTAATGCGCTAGATATCTTTCGGCATTTTTTATGTCTCATCGCCTTGGCGAACATTTTGGCCACTGGCCTGGGAAATGGTGCCGAAGATTTTGCCGGGCATCGCGTCATTTCACTTTTTACGGCGCGCTAGAAAATCTTCCAGGGGTTATAAATGTTTCCCCATCAGTCGGCCACGGGTTCTCAGCCTGTTCGCTACATCGAATCCTGCTTAAAACGTACATTACCTGTAGTCCATTGCGTTGTAACATGTCACTTACGTTACCGGAAGAGACACAATTTCATTCATTTTCTCATTCTTTCCAGCTCATAACATTATTTTTCCAGGTCGCGCAAAAGCTGCAGATATCGACCCTACGGAGACGCCCAGGGGTAGCACCACACGAGAGGCAAGGGAAAATCGCCCATTTCCATTTGTCAAGGGGGCAAATATAGCCCTCTGGTGGTTATGTTTACATCTCTTCTCCTGTCAGTTCTCCGCAATGCGAGACACAAAGCGCACAAACCCATCCCTGAAGTCATCAAACTTGATCGTCCTTTCGTGACCCTGCTGGCCAGTTCACCCACAACTGCATGCAATTTTAGTGTGCAGCAGGGGCTGAAAACTTGCTTTGCTTAATGATGACGCGGAGGAAGATCGCCCTACATAGTGTATTACGTAATTGCCGTCGCCTGAACCAAATGGATCCAGTTTATGCCGCAGTCGCATTTGCCTAGCTAAGCGCATCAAATCAAAGAACGCTTGGCTGCGCTTAAGACCGCACAATAATGGGTGTTGGTGAACACCTGGAGGGAGTATGTGAACTATGTGATCCTCAAGCAGCGCGTTATTGGGATGCTTTATCGACACCATAACAAATGACCGGATTTACTCCCTGTCTTTCTTTTGCCATAAGAAACAAAAAAAGAAACTTGGAATGTAGCGTCCAGGCCATAGTGCAGCTGCGGGGTAAAATGCATGAGATGTCACCCCGCAAAACACGTTTATACACTGATACCTTACACAGTCGACCGGACTAGATGATAACATGCACTGTTCTGAGAAGGAGCTACGACACTGCGGTAATATTTTCCGGCGGAATGAGCAGCGGACGTCCGCCCGCGTTGGGAATGCGAAGGGATGATAGCCACTTGGATCATTTCTTTCACGTCAACACCCAAAGGGTCGGCGTTAAAGTTTTAGAAAGTTCTGGGTCTCAGTCCCTGCCATAAACTCCGACCCCTGCGCCCCATGTCTTACAATGGTATAACTCAAAACACATGCGGATTGGCATAACAATGATCATTTACGGCAACGTCAATTATTGAACGCATGGTTCCTCGTCCACTCCCCTTCATTCAGGCGTCGCGATGGCTTTACGACCTCTTCCGACTTCCAAAGATTGCTGGCGCTTCCCTGCTGGCGACCCCCCCCCCCGCTTCTCCTGGGATAGGTGTGTGTGTGTGTTTGTGTGTGTGTGCTCGGATCCCCATGAAATTGTATACGGGGACACCCTTGGTGCTTAAGTAGATAAGAGTATAGGGCTCGGGCAACAGCGTAGAGTCCTCCAGGCACGTGGGAAGCACCCCGGACCAATGCGGCGGCCCACGGAACATCAAGAGTGCCCGGGCAGGTGAACAGAAAAGGACCGCCGGCAACAGAGTAGGGCCCTCCGCAAATGGAAGCCAGTGGCAAGTACCCGAGACTGTGAACAGTGCCGGAGTGACCGATGGGAGCGAACAGATGCCGGCAGATGCGCATGTGGGAGCCAGTGGCAGGTGCCCGGGACAATGTCAACAGTACCGGAGTGACCGAGAGCACGCCGGCAGGTGCGCATGTGGGAGCCAGTGGCAGATACCCGGGACAATGTGAACACTGCCAGAATGACCGAGAGCACGCCGGCATGTGCGCATGTGGGTCCTCTGCCAACGGGGCACGGCAACTTCCGAGCAGATGGAAAACTGTGGATCGTCCATGAGTCATGGACATCAGCCCGGCAAGTTGGGTCCTAACGGTAGCATGGATACCTCTGAACAAACACGAAGAGCCCAAGAGCAGAGTGGGAAGCCCCTTAGTGATCGAAAGTGGTCCGACATACACACAGGGCCCCCGTTGACAACGCGGGCAGCCGTGCAACGGAATACGCGCTACAACCTCTCCGACCCCCACCCTCCCAATTAACCAATAATTCTTCTTGTCTGTTCATTGTCCCTTCATTTTTACCAGCAGCCATTTCCGGTCGGCTGGAGGTCCGAGGACGTCCTACTCTTTTCACATTGTGTTGAAAACCCGCGTCCGTTTGGCCGGTTATGGACTCCTTCGAAACCTATGTACCGCTTCAGAGACTGGGGGAGGGGAGGGGGGGGGGGGGGGCCGTAAACCTCTTTGGATCTAGCAGTGGTTAGAACAGCTGCGCGTGGGCGAAAATCATTTCAGCGGGCGTGGGGGTAGCGGGAGAGTGGTGGGGGGGGGGGGGGGGGACTTGGCCGGGTGCGGGGGCGATCCCACGCTCTGTGGTACCAAAGATTCAGCATGCAACGAACGAGACAACGACAGGACTGACGACTTCTGATCAGATCTGCAACTAGCTCATTTGGTTGAGCGACAGGCAGGCTCAATCAAGTTAAGCTCAGTCAATAAATATCAGCCTTTGCAGTGGCAGGCAATCGACACTGAGTTGTTACTTGTCAAGCTTCATCATTTCCATTCCCCTTATCCCATCCGTGTTCCAGCCCCTGAGCCAGGTCAACAACGCTTGAGAGCATGGTCGACGCACGCGGCCTCCCACTCTCCGCGCTCTGAACACCCACTTGGTCAGGATGGGACGCGGGCAGCAGAGACCGCAGCAGCAGGCGGGCGGCTTGGTGAGCGGCACGGTCATCTCCTCCACCGCCTCCAGGAGCTTGGTCTCTCCGCCGAAGTACATCATACACAGATCCACAAACTTCGACACGCCGTTGCTCATGAAACTGGAAACACAAGGCGACGCTGCAGGAGACGCAGGCACTCTGGTAAGCTTGCTTTAAAGTCGTCATTGGTATGCACCAGGGCAGATTAATAATTTCATATCGACTGCCAGCCACATGAAATACAACTCAATTAGCGTGTTAGAAAGTTTCATTTTGAGGGCTGGATTACGCGGTCCGTACGTTTCTGTCCTTCGTTTTGATGCGTTTTTGCGTCGTCTAGGAGTGCAATCGTATCACGTCATCTAACCCAAGCATTGCACTATCAATATGAAGGCGTCCAGGTTATGAGATACTCAGTGTCTGCAACGCCTATTGGCAGCACCCACTCATGTCATCTTCACACTCACATGATTGCCACGGCTGCTAGAAGGCTGCTGGACGCTGGAACGATGAGACTGCACAGGCACATCAGGCTCACAAACTGCAAAGGACGGTACGCAGTCGTGTAAACCGCCTCCGCATGTAGCCGAATGCGCTCGTGCTGATATTTTAGGATGACTGCTCAAAAGGCACAACCGGAAAATACAGAATAGCAAAATTGGATACAGCATCTCCATACACTGCTGGAGGTCAATGTAACAACTGAGTAATTGCACTGGGATTTCTTGCTAGTGGCATTTCTGAGTGATATACCGTTACGTAATCCACCTGCTACCTACCTGGTGCCTCACCTGCTATCTACCTACCTGCGATAGTGCCCATACTCACACGTTATCCATGTCCTATCACCTGTGCCCACCTGTTATTCACCAGCCAGCCTTTTCCCAGGACTTAAGTCTTTAGTATGGAAGAGTGTCAGGTAACCTTACATCCAAACCTTGCTTTTGTGTTAGTACTTGCAAAAGTAGCTTGAGTGAAACTAATTACGACAGAAAAAGGTGCGAGCAGCAGAGCAGGTTGACATTCCTTGAGGTACTTACCAGACCTTGAGGTACTTACCAGACCTTGAGGTACTTACCAGACCTTGAGGTACTTACCAGACCTTGCGCAGGCGTATCACCCATACCCGCACCCATTCCCCTATTTTTCTTCAAATCCCTCACTCTTATCCTAAATCCTTACCCATTCGATATGACCCACGCATTTACCTAACTGTTACCCAACGGCTGTTTACCCAACTGGCTGTTAAGTCTTCTATTATTCCCTTATTAAGATTATCGTGGATTAGGGGTCTCAATTTTTGTAAGTGACCGGAGAGAGGGGAAGCCGATGACCGGACGACCAGCCCAACCCCATATCTTTCTCAACGGCTTTTGCCAACTCAATTTTGACGAAGGTAGTTCGCATGTAAAATGTTTGTATGAAATACCAAATAGTTCATCATTTAAGCACCGTCGCCGCCTTGCCAAGGTGGCCGCAAAGGGAAGGGCTCTGGAGACACGTGCGTTTTCTCATCAAAGAGTAAAGACTGGAGGCCTGGAGGCCGTCATAGGGCGCCGAAAGCTTTCCTCCATGGCGGCCACAGGCGGCAGCCGCCATTTTTGGTCATGGGGACGGCGACAGGGTTAGCCATGAATGACTTGATGAAGATAGCTAGAGACACCAAACTTACCAAATGGATTGGGCTGTACGTGACCTCACTTATGTCAGAACTTGAGGTTCTTTCATCATAAATTTGAGGTCAAATAAGGTCAAACAAGGTCAAACTCTAGTTTTTGGTGTTTCAAGTGCCCCAGGCATCCTCGTGCAACAGCCGTGCAGCTAGATACCTGTTCTTATCAAGAGGTCATTGAGGTGAGTGACCTCGCTTAACCTTAATAAAGTCAAGGTGGCCAATGTCTACGACGTTGCTTTTATTTTTTCCATTCTAATAAACATCAGGGATTTCGCTGGGCGGTATGTTCTTAAAAACAAAATGCTGACACTGGTCATTTTAGTTCAGTGACCTACTTTTACCTTAAAAAAGTCGATGGAACATGACTGTTGCAGTCCCTGTCATTAATAAACTAGAAATGAGCGTCAGAAACCACCCCACAAAACCAAGCTCTCGATTAAAAAACGGATTAGTTTTGATCTTGATCTGACTTTTATACTTGACCGTAGGTCAATATAATTGATTTAAATTCAAAATTTGATTGGTTTATTGTCTAAGAAAATATCTCAGACAGATATGGCTTTGGCTAGCACCCCGTTATTGCATCACATTGAACAATTTCCAAGAAATGCCATTCGCTGACAGCCATGGCCTGACTTTGGCCGACCGTAAGCCAGCGACCTTACAGATTGCATGTAATTTTATGTACCAAGGGATCCGCTATTAATTCTCTACAGTTATGCACAGTTTGACGCGGCTTCGCCTCGCTGTTCCGAAATCAATCTGGAAAATCTTTCGTTTGGGGAGTTAATATCACCTCCACCCGAGTGCGTGTTAAGTTACAATTTTTGTGCGACACGCAAGCGGCGTGCGACAATTTTTGTCTGAATTTTACGTCAAACCACATTTTTTTAATTCAGCTACGTCAGGCTAACCAGGCTGGCACGTGTTTGCCTGGTTAGAAGGCGGTCGAGGGTCGTGTAGCTGCGTGCCACGGTAAATGTCCTTTGGTGCTGTTTGGATAAGGCAACAAGACAAAACGGATCCATTGAACGTGTGTTACATTAATGGGATGGTAGGTTCGGGGTGCTAGCAATAAGCTATTTTCAGCACGGAATCAGATTACGAATTCGTCCAAACCAGACTATCGTTTTTCGTATTTTTGTCATTTTGTAGTTGCACTGGACCTAGAACCTGAACTAACGATGCCACGCGCGCAAAAACAATGTGTTTCCTGATTTTTCTCATAAGACCTAACAACAAAGCAACTCGAGTCCCTACTTCGGGTAAAACGAGGATAGGTTTGGAGGATAGGTTCGTTGCCCACCATGGGTAGGAGACCAAATGTCGCTTGGCATAAAAGAGTCCTCAAGACCGGTGAATCAGTGGCATAAATGCCATGCTTGGGCTGCGGAGAAAAGGCGTCTGGGCTCAGGTTAGACGGACTAAAAACCGTCAAATATGCAATGGTTTACCCTCGATACCTAAAGTTACCCCTCATTTGAGCACACAATTTTGAGTTTACGGGGTCGGGTTACCCCGCTGCACCCTCCATGGCCATGCCACTGCGATGAAGGGTCAGAAGAGATGCCTTTGTGTGATGGCCAACTTTTTCCTGCACTTTTGCGATATTCCAGCCAAAAACTGCGACGGAGCCCAAGCCAACAACGGGGAACTCCAATTTGGGGTATGTCAATTTGGGGGTAGGTCCTCACAAACGAATACAAATCAACAGTCCAGACGTGGATTGCGTTTCTTCTCAAGCACTGCCACAGCATGCTCCTGTTACAGATGGCACGAGGCTCAGGCGAAAATGTCTGTTAGTTCTGCAAAGTCTACGGATAAGGTCACGGCCGCTGGGCGTGACAGGCTGATAGACGCACCTATGTTTTCCAAACCAGTAAAAAATCCTGCGAATATTCAGTTTCAAACAGCTGTGCAAATGTAAATGTTATGCAGAACTGATGTTTACCTCATTTGCTATGAGTACACCCTTGCTCACAGGTCCGTGCCCAGACTGAACCTCCAGGTCGGTGCCCACACCGGACTCCCAGGCCCGTGGCCAGACCGAACCTCCAGGTCGGTGCCCAGACCGGACTCCCAGGCCCGTGGCCAGACCGAACTTCCAGGTCGGTGCCCAGACCGGACTCCCAGGCCCGTGCCCAGACCGGACTCCCAGGCCCGTGCCCAGACCGGACTCCCAGGCCCGTGGCCAGACCGAACTTCCAGGTCCGTGCCCAGACAGGACCCCCAGGCCCGTGACCAGACTGAACCTCCAGGTCGGTGCCCAGACCGGACTCCCAGGCCCGTGGCCAGACCGAACTTCCAGGTCCGTGCCCAGACAGGACCCCCAGGCCCGTGGCCAGACCGAACTCTTCTGGGGGAGAAGCAATGTTACGAACGGCTTACACAGCGCTGCTTGCAGCGTTCTTTATAGAGCCCCAAGCAAGCTGGTGCGGCTAACGGGGAAGGGGAGATACAATGTTGGGCAAAAGGAGCAGAAGCAGCAAGGTAAATTCCCTTGTTTTACTAATGCTGATGCGTATTCTAGATGCTAGAAGCGTTAGAAAAACGGGATGTCTAAATGCCGAGCAGACCAAGTGATGGCATGTAGAAGAGTCCGAAGAATATTCGTTTGTAGCTAAGTTGTCGGCACCACTGCGAGGAACGCACGTTTGCTTCTACACAACGGTCGCCTTCGGCCGCCTTCGTAACACACGTTTGCTTCTAGCTGAGTCATACGCGCGCCATTGTGGCACCACGACGCACTCAGCTGCTCAAACGATATGGTGTCGCCTGCCTCCCACCCTGGCAGGAAGGGCGGATACCCCGGGGATTCTAGCTGAGTCATGCGGTCACTCAAGCGACTAGGTGTTTACAACACGTAATGTCGAAGCGGAAGCCAGTGACTTCGAAGTTTATAAACGCGAAGTGGAAGTCCAGTCAGTATCTTCGAACTTGCAAACACGGACCCAAAGCGTATCAAGTTGGCACAGAATCTTGCGTACAATGTTACTGTACAGAAGTCTTCTTTTGGCGCCTGCCAAAACTCTGTGGTGCTAGGAAAGGACTTGCGTACTCGTCTTGCGTGCTAATGTGCACACACCGATTCGGACAGTTAGTTCTCCGGCCGCCCTCAGGCGTCACTTGGTTCCGAAAACGACAGGCTTCGTTTGCAGCCATGTATGTGTCGCGGCATCGGAAGGCTGTGTGATAGGCATATCGAGGCGACAGGGCTGGCCCGCGTGTTTCTGCGAAGCAACGTCAAACCTGCCGTGAAAAGTCACCACCAAAACCCGAAAACAGCAGTTTAAGATTGTATGAAGCCTAAACTAGACCCACAATTCGAAAATTGTTCGAAGTCAAATTCGAAACCAGTTTTAAAAATTAACGAGAAATTCGAATCATTCATAAAATGGCACGAAGCCGAGGCCAAATCCACTGCTTTCTGCGGCTTCCCGGAGCCGATGCCGAAATAGACTTTAACCTCATGAAGTCGCCCATACCTGCTCCCAGCATAACTGAAGACTTCGGGACATTCAAAACCCCACGCGGATGCCGATCACCATCGAGTGAGCGCGAAGAGCTGTAGACATGCTATTGCTTCCACCTTGCTGTCCTCGCTCAAATATCGCCTGGTTGCCATCGAGATGTGGAAACTTTTTGGGCCGAAAGAGCGTGTCAACACAAAAGCTTAAGCAACGCCTCAACACGCAGCTGCCATAACAGGTTTGAGGTTAGAAGCTGATATGGTTGACACAGTTTTGCTATAATTGTTACAAATTTCGACACAGGGAGGGGTCTCATCCAATATTCGCGGGACAAGACCGCTGTACCATGCGTACAAGAGTTGCAGGGACGAGGCTGGAGAGTGCACCGCAGATCCCAGGGAAGCATGGGACGGGGCTGAAGAGTGTACTGCAGATCCCCAGGGAACGCACGGGACGAGGTTAAGGAGTGTAGTACCGCAGATCCCCGCGGATGCACGGGACAGGACTGAGGAGTGCTCCGCATATCGTAGGGGAGGCACGGACACCCAGCGAACCTGCCTCGCTACGGGCCCGCCAACTCTCATCACACACCATCGCTGCCGCATTGGACACCGAAAGCGCGAGCATCGATGCAAAAATTGCGTTCAGCATGAGGCTTTGGCACGTTCTACACGCGCAAACAGAGGCTTGCGGTGAGTTCCTTTCGTAGTTCGGGGGCTAGGCCACCAGCATTCCCATCCGCTGATTGATGCGCCGTACACGACAGCCATAGCCTGATCATCGTCACGTTACCATACATGTGGCGTTCCTGCGGCACCTCTCACCGGATAGATCGCATTAATCCAGACGATTTTGCGCCGCCATTGTCTTGGTGCATCCTTGTTGACGATTATCGTCGTCTTCACGAGAAGCCCGCACAATAGCAGCACAATTAGAGATGCTATCGTCCAGAGGGCTATGACGTACCCACCGAGATCTGAAAATAATTAATGTCTAGTCTACAAATGCACAGAGTGCCTGTGCCGTCGCACAAATGCAAACGTCCGTTGGTATTGATATCCGCTGTATCCCGCAACTTTCGACGAAAATAGATGTTTTAATTCACCTAGTAGCTACTGATATAAAGGGAAACATAACCCGGTATGCAGCAATCTAGCGTAGTCTTCAAAGTCACATTTTTGCCATTCAGAAAGCTCACATTGTTAAATAGATTGGCCAATCGAAAACCCGTCGTTTAGTTAAATATGCTGAATAAATCTGTGTTATAGACTGACTATTTGGCATCCACCTTTTTCACATGAACTCTCTTTTCATGCTTCGATTATTTCACGAAGTCCCTGACAGAGGCCCTATGGGAAACAAATATCAAGTAATGATAAAAATACAAAATGGCGAAATATTAGTCCGTTGTGTTGTAGCCGAACACATATTGCTTAACCACAACCATAGACGTTTTGGGCGTTTGAATTCTTGGACTAATGCGTATTTTGTATTCTTCTTTTTGGTATGGGGAGAATCACATAATAATTTAAATGCATCCACCAATGTCTGCAATACGAATATCAGCCAAGAACAAAAAGCGTCTGGAAAACCGACTGCCGCCTTCACAACTTCTGTACACGAATGCAAGAGACCAGAACCCGGCATCATACCCTCTTTTCAGTTCCCGTCTGAAAATTCTCTCCTGATGTCTGTATGCGATTTATTACTGGTTGACGCGTGTAAGATACACTCGAGCAAAAAGAGCGTCATTATCATGAGCCGTAACTATAAATACATCTAATCATGAACAAACCGTCTATGAGCTCTCTGGTTGTTGGAGCCTTGATGACTGGCGGACATTCGCTGTTGTTCAGGTATCCACTCCCGAAGTTGACGGCCATTGCTGCTACGATTGCTCCACACCAGGATGTGGACAGCTACTGAAGAGGGCGGCCGCGGCCTGGGAACAAAGAAGCATAGTTCGGAATGGCGCTCCTCTGGGCGTGTGCACATGCACTGGCTGGCTCGCTTGTCGCGCCATGTTGGGCCCCCGCTCCGAGGGAGGAGGAGGGGAGAGTAAGAAGAGAGGGAGGTTCACTCCACTCCGCAGTGCCGACACGGACGACGCCTTCCTGACTCTGCCGAGCCAGCAGGAGTGGAGCCGGAGTGGCGGAGGAGTGGGACCGCGCGCGCCGATCGGGGCGGCAGCACACAGACCCGGCTGATAACGGCAGGTGCTATCAGTGGGGCGCCGAACAAGATTGCGTTGTCCTCATGGCGCTCCCAGCACCGGAAGAACTGTGACGACCGTGCCAGTTCAGAAGGAACTGTGAATTGAGCTGTGAATTGCATTTCTACGACGGAGCGGAGGGCAGAGTTCTCGCCCAGCGGAGTTTGTGCGCACCCACACACTTCACCATCGAAGCGGTCCTCTCAATGTCGTACTCTCTTGGTGTATCTAATTACATGGCGATCAGGTGAATCAAGGAACGCCTTCGGCGAGAACTAGTCCTGGATAGTTCAGGTTACACATGTGATCGTCATGAGGTCCGGGTCAGTTAAGGAATCTCTTAAGGGGGCATGATTGGTTGACAAGAACGCGGTGAGAGGCGATGCATTATAATGTTAGAGAGCTGAAGGGCCAGGGATCAGATGAGACGAAACGCCCGTAGGCTTTCAAACAGAGGCCTTCAAACCAAGCGAGTCCCGACCGGATTCGAAACGCTCTGGGTGCTCTAGCCGCTCAAAGGTTTCTAAACAATTTTGAGCATGTCATTGCCATAGCAACCCAATGAGCACCATGATGCAAAACAAATCCAGTGCTGCTCTTCTGCCAGCATCAGCAGCGGAATGCTCCACACGTCAGCAAATGAGCTGGCAGTGGCATATTTCAGTAAAATTTATGGATACACTCACTTTAAGGTGCGGCGCTGATGATGTCTAATGCATTCAGCTGGTCCACGGTGTCACATTTCCGACACACAATCTTACTCACCGATTAAAATCCACAGCCGAATGTTTGTTCAGCCGAGGAAGCCGCCACAGCTCCTGCCCTGCAACCCAACGTGCCTCGTCACCGTGGCGCCTGACGCCCCGTCCTCACCGTCACCCGGTCCCGGCACGACTCTCCGCTCGCTCGGCCTCACGCCCGCTGCACTCGCGCCTCACTCGCGCCCCTCCGCGGGACACCGCCGCGCCACACACGCCGCGCGCCGACGGCCGGCGCGTCCGGCGGAGAAAGCGAGCATTGGCGCACAATAGTCACAATAGATTTTCGCATCACAATGGGTTTCCCTGGACGATGTAACGATGCCATTTATTTCGCCGCCGTGCCGCCACCAAATGTATTTCATTGATGGATCAAACTTGTCATGCCATAGAGTCATTAGGGCCGTAGGACGACCTTGTTTGTGGCCTCAGCTGCCTTGCATGTCCTGACACACCCATTTTCACGTCACTTTATCGTCGTTTTCAGCTACTGTTTATCTACATTTCCGAGGTCGTTGTCCGCACAGCCTTTAACAACTACCCAATCAAAGAGAGGTGATAAGTGCATTCGCAAAGAACATTGCCATTGCACACTTACATAAGGCAATCTTAAGAGTTATTCATCATCAAATAATCAGGGAAAAGAGAGATAAATGCATTGATATTTCGGCTATATGTGCTTGTTAAAACGATTATGAGCAGTAAATCTAAAGTCCTGCTCAAAATTCTGCTAAATTTGTTTAGATTTCTTGCTCTCAAGCGTTTTGAAAAGGCATAGAGCCGAAATATTAGCGCCTCTATCAATATTTCGACACGGAATTTCGGTCTGTTCGCTTGACTTTTGCGGCCGCCGAGTTGTGACTTGATGCCGCCAGAGACATCTCTATAACTTTTAACTCTGAATGTCCTTGCCGCTTTTTTTACCTATTGATGTCAGTTATCTCTTCATGATGAGGTAAATACTGGGCGGCCCGGTATTCCACTGATTCCGAAAGAGGTATGACGGCCGTCTGCACCAATCAGGACAACCGACTGCTCTCTACCGATCTTGTTAACCGGCGAACGACCTGCCGCCGGTAGTTTGCAAGTGGCTAGAAGCTTTTCGCCCCAAGATTTCTGAGAATATTTGGTGGAATGTTGCGGTTTCTAAGTTGCTGAGGCCTCGGCGAACAGGACAAGCTGTCATACTGGGGTACCTAGCTTTGGTGGCAAATTCAAGGTGGCGGCAGGTGGAACGATTGTCGTGTTGTGCATGTATGTGGACCAAGTAAGAACCAAACACTTGCATTGTCTTTAAAAATGATTGAGTAGTTGACTACATAGCTATTAAACACACTGCTTACAATGTAGAAGGAGAGCGGGTAGGTTTTTACGCAGAACATGCGCCCCTAAAACCCAAATCATCATCATCATTATCATCTCGAGCAGATAGTTTCTGGTTCTTTCATCCTTTTTTAGTCAATCAAGCCCCGCTTTCCGATGTGTATGAGACTTATGACGGACATCTGGTGCAAACTGAGTAACTTATGTTAGAACTTAATTTTTAAAAAGGCCCATCTATGCTCCGACCTACTCCCGCATCACCACTCCCAGCGCGCGTTATGCGCACTAGTAGTGACACCTAGCGGTCAATAGATGTAGGCGAGCCTCGCAACTTCAGCCCACAACTAATGCGGACGATGGTGAGGTGGGGAGGTTGGGGGAGGGGAGGCAGTGCACGTAGTTTCGTAAAATTAGTTGCGGTGGGGTTTAGCAGTGCAAAATGGCGAAACCTACACACAAAATACACTCAAGACGGGTTTCTCCGGATCTGACCTTCTCCCCTCTCAGCGTTCGAGAGAGGGACTGCAGAGACCATCTGAGAGACGGACAGCGGAGCCAACTGCGGACACTACTCTGTACCGACAGGAGAGATATGACACAAGCCGGCGTGGGCAGCAGTGAACAACTATGCGTCGATGTTTGGAGCGAGGCGCGGCCGGTGCACCAATCCCCGTGACGTGCGTTCGCAGTGGATCCACAGCAGCAACGCCCGCGTTCATTCAGGACCCGCACCGCCCCATGACCCGACTTTTCAACTGGAGCTTCGCTTTGCAGTGAGATAAAGACGAGACGATCGCTTTGCGCGGTGTGGGGATCAAGTAGAGTTGATGGAAGACCTCTGGGCGTGGGCGTTTGCGCAATTCGCCTGGAAGAGACCTGGTTTGTCGAGGAAAGCTGACAAAGCGGGTCTCCTTGATCTTGCTTGTCTCTCCTCTCCTCTCCTCTCTCCCTGCTTTTTCGCGTCCTAAGTTAAGAGTTCTTACACCGGCAGCTGTAGGCCTTCTTTATATCAACATGTACTGGTTAAACTGCGTTATCGAGCAAACACCGGCTGCATTATCTAGATAAATTTAAGATTTGTCAAGGCAATTAATTGACCTGCCCTTACTGGTATGTTGAACGCCAATTATTGTCAGTTAAATAACTAAAGCTCAGGTGCTGAAAGCCTCGTGGTCAGGGCCCTTCTTCTTACATCGAGTGTGTTCTTTGTGCACAGAAAACAAAACACAAATCCGACTTCGCGACAGCAGTTTTTACCTTTCAATAAATAGCGGACAGTCGACATTTTGGCGCTCGTGTCACGCTTATTTCACAATGGAACCCCCTTTGACACGTTTGGCATGGGCCCGTTTTCGACCTGTGGTCCGCCCCTTTTTGCGACTCGAAATTTCCCTTCTTCCGTCTTAATCACCAATCGGATGACGGAGTCCGAATAATACTGACGTTGTAATATTGCAGGAAAACCCTGTTTAGTCAAACAGCTTGGCTGCAATCTTCTTAACAACTCATGGAGGAGCACAATGTTAAAAGAATGCCTCTCCACCCTGAAGCCCGCATGAGCCTGCGGTCAGTGCTAGCGATGCTGTTCACTTCTGGAAGTGTGAGTGCGGGGCTGCGCTGAGCCGGGCCGGGCCGAGCCGTTCAAGTCAAACGTTCTCTCACAGTTCAGATAAAGCTCGCGCGACTTCTTGCCCCGCGAATTCGCCCGCAATGATCGCAGGAGAAAGCTCAGCTGCCATTTATACTGTTCTTGCCACTGCTGCAACGTAATGATCTAGACTTGATTGCTGCCTCATGTTTTGCTGTGGTGTGTTGCTCTGCAAATGCAGAATAGTGGAATGCTCCAGGAGGGTCCAATTTTACAGGTTGCAATTTCCCTAATCATTATCTTGTCTTGCCAGGATACGTCTAGCTGGCTTCTTAAACAGTCTTTATCTAACGAAGAAGCAATCCAACGCAAAATGCCTGTTTTTATTAAACATTAGGCCTGCTGGGAGGTCCAGCACAGTCCACGACCCGCTGCAGATCATGTTTAGGTTGAAAGGTTTGACTGGTTCGAGTTCCTTAAAAAGAAAGGCAGATCGACCCATGACTGCATAACGCTTAAGGATTTCCTGACTTCGAAGGCCGCTGCAGGAGTGAGATTCAGTTCTTGTTAGTGATCAGTTATCACAGATGAACCGCAGACCTATGGTTTCGTCATCGCACGCAGCAAATTTCCAACCCTCTTACAGGGGGCCGGAATATTGGGTCATCGGTATACAAGGTTTAAAGCATTCTGATCAAGGGTAATTGCTAAAATAACTAAAGAAGCACGGAGCATTGAGCGCAGGCGGTCATGACCGGTGGAAAGAAAATAACACTATGAAAATGCAAATAAGAATAAAAAGGAATTAACAGTATTTTCCAAGTGCCTACGCTGTAAGACTGCAATGCGCCGTAGAATGGGTGTTGGCATGCGTAAGCCACACTGAACAACATATTTGGCCCTCACGCTCAAGAAGATTACAAATCTGAACTAGATTGAGCGCCACCTGAACAAAGAGATTGCAATCTGGTTTGGTGGAACGAACTGGTACAGTCCATGCATAATGCGACAATCATTTTCAAATATATTTAAACTTTATGTGCAATCTTAAAAAAGGACTGCAATATGGGTGGTATATTCCTATAAATCAAACTTCCCAGCTGCGATCATAATGGTATGACTTTTGCGTACTCGTCTCCCCTTCGTGTGCATGCCAGTGTCAAAATATTTTTTTGAATTATTACGGCATAAGGAAAAAACTCCTGGAAAAATCAAATAAACTAAGAGAGAAGGCTACAAATTTCCACATGTTGGAATCAAAGCCAGGTGTGTGTGCGCCAAGTCTGGTTCATATCAAAGCATGCTTATTATGGTATATGTATCGGCGGGTTACTTACAGCAGCTAAGCACTCGGTATAGTATCCCATTACTGGTACAAATGACACAAAATGGATGAAACAGCGTGGTAACAGCTTGGTTAGCACTCCTGCATAGTTGCACTGCGAACGACGAATGCAATATCTTAGGGCACATTAGTACCCAGGTTTGACATACGTTAAAAGTGTTACTTCCCCGCAATAAGGAAGGGAAACCATTAACATGGGTTGCCATTGCACGACAGCCTGCGAAAGCTGAACTTGATATGCCTCCCATGTAAGTTGTTGTTGTGACTGGGACTTAAGAACACGCTCAGCTGCTGAGACTAAAGGACGACGCATGCCTCGCACCCCGACAAGAAAGGCGGGCTCTGCGAGGAATCGTCCCGCACTTCAGATTTGTCAAACGAGCATCTTAAACACTACGCTGTCGGCACGCCTGTAAACTTGCTTACGATCTTACTTTGCACGACTGCATGTGAATATGCCGAAAAGACCACAAAGCTTGTTATGACCTTGTTGCGGTCAAGACGAACAGCTTCAAAACGGCGAGTTGGTGCGATCGCATGACCCGATGTTTCTCTCGGTTTAAATATTTGATGAGAAATCGGCTGAGCAGTATTTTGTGTTGAATTCGCTTCTCGGCGTAAGTAGTTAAGTAATGTCGAAATATCGATTGAAAGCTGTTGCCCTACGTCAGCTCATACATTTTTCATAAATTTAAACATTGCCTTTGAAGCATTTGATTGCCTAAAGGTCTAACCACCCGGCGACAAGTGATGACGACCAAGCACGATGTCGAGTGATGGCACGATTCATCGACGGTTCCGTTGGGATGAACAATTCAATAAGAAGCTTGTTCGGGAGTTTTTCTTGTTAAATACCCGCGTCGGTTTG